AGGATTTGAGGTACAGTGCTCTTTCATTTTAAACTATGAAAATTATGGGGTCAGTTTGATTTCATACTTCAACGTCCTTCCGAAGCGGGCGACGGGATTTCGATTCTGATGACCGACAGCTTCTTACGGGCAACCCCACAAACCAAAACAACCCCCGAAATAACGCCGACAGACGCTTTGCTTGGGAAAAATTCCCTTGTGGAATACATATCTATTTCTCACTCGTCGCAAATTCCAAGTGTCCTTTCCTTTAAACGAGACAATCCTCCAACACCACATTCCAATGGGTTTCAAGCTCCCGAACATTGCTTCCTATGAAGGGGCAACTGACCCTTAGAGCACATTAATCACTACTGAATCATTGTACACATTCAAGGTGCCTCTGATATGGTTCTCTGTGAAGTGTTTCCATCCACACTTGAGGGTCAAGCTTGCTCTTGATTTTAGTCTCTCTTGGGGGGCACTATCAACATCTTAACGAATTTGTTAGACTATTCGTAGAACAATTCATAACAATCATGAGGATTACATATGTGTGTGTATGTGTAAATAAATAAAAATATTATATAATTAAAAATAAAATTTTCCAGATTTTGATATTTTCCAATGACAAAGTTAGGCTCGCCCAGAAATAAGGGATAACTAATACATCATAAAAAACTTCCATCATTTATTATAAATCCTAAGGATTGATAAATCTCAAATTAATTTTTTGAGCTAAAAAAGTTCAAATTTCAATTAAAAATAATCCAAAAATATGATTTTAGCAAAATTACAGTCCAACTAACCGGTTCGACAAGACCAACACAATGACAATAAAATTTGTCTAATTTGAGTCAAATCAAGCTCATATCAAGCCATTAAACCATTTTTGAAAGTTTTCGGTGCCTAATTAAAATATTAAATGAATTTCAATTCTGACAAGCTTATAGTTAAATAGAGTGTGTTGACGATAGGAATCCAATGAGTCCAATTTTACTCAATTCTGACACCATTAAGAAACTCAAATGTCTGTAAAATATCATTTGATTAAGAAGATCTCTCTAGGTCATTCTATGAAGCAGTTCATATTATTTATTATGTGTTGGGAGGCCTCTCCTGGACTTTATAAATAGAGTCACACCCCCTTCTTGAGAGGGGACCCAAACCTTGAACTAGAGGAAGACAAAAGCTTGAAGGAGAACGAGTTGAACCTCCGTGTTTTACACCGAATGTTCAGTGAGCGCCGCCCAACCACTATCGACCACAGTTCGCCAACAGTAGTCGACCACTATTGCCCACCATCTACTCCTCATGGCAAAATCCCTTGCGAAGTTACCAAATGCATAGTGAAATCCCAACATATGTTGTGAAATAGTGAAACACTCGGCGGAGTAGTCCATCTCAGTACATCATGTAGTTTCAGCAACTATCCCCAACTGCAATCACCTTCAGCAATTGTGCAAAAAATATTATATATCTTGAAGAACAATGTATTTCTTTCCCTCCTATGATATAATGACCTTAAGTTTAATCTCCAACTCATAGTGGATTGATTGGTTCAAATCCTTTCATTTTTTTGCCCTTCTCAGGTTTTCACATAAAAATTCCTGATGTCTTTATATGTTACTTTTATTATCGAGTGTATGTTGGATTCTCATGCAACACTAAGACAATAATCCATTACTCGACCGCCGCGAATCTCATAGCACACAACAATATCATTAAGCCTGGAGTTTAACAGGATCTGCATTATGTTTCTGAGATTTATTTTCATAATTGTAATTGTGAATAAAAGGCGCACAGTAGCACTAGAGAAGAATGACTCAAAACATCCGGGATTTAAAAATAACACATCTGCTAGCTTCATTTCAGCAGTTTTTACAATTAATAATCATTTTTTTTCAATTTAAAATCATTATTTTCTCAACACAATTATTTTAGAAAAGAAATCATTGAAGAATACTTAACAATAACAAAAGAAACAACTATACCATCCCATCTCTCACCAGCTCTTCCAATCCCTTCTTTAGCCTCTCTGCAGCAACTTCACAATCAGCCTCTTTCAACCCACCAAATGAGATTCTGATGTACCCAGGTCCTCCACTCGCGCTTCCAGGTATCACAACTATCCCATGCTTTCTCACCAGCCATCGAACGACCGCGAAATCATCAGAACAATTCTCTGGTAGCTTTGCCCAGAGGTAAATGGCGCCTTCTCCGCCTTTAACCGAGTCTTCTCCGAGTGGGGAAAGAGCTCTCTTGAGCATCTCCCTATTCTTTACCAGGTCCTGGACTCTCTCTCTGATCCATTCTGGGCCTACTTCCAAAGAATAGAGCGCCAGGCGTTGTCCTATAATGGAAGCACAGATGGGTATGTTGTCTTGGATTTTGAGGAGCTGAGCACCAAATCCTTCCACTTCAGGGTATGCTATCTGCATTGCCACAGATAATGATTTATTATGTGCGGAACTATGCAAAAATGGATGAAGAATGGGATTTGTGTGAACTTGGTGATAGATTAGAGTTCCTGAATGGAACATAACATTTGTGTCCATTCTTCAATTTATTGTTGGGGGGATTTAAGTGGGAAAAGGTGAGAAATGCTGCATTTTGAATTCAGCCTCTTCTTAACAAAGTAAAATGAATATCAATTCAATTCGTTTACCATTTTAATTTGGGGCATTTAAATCCATACCGCCAAATTCTTATGTATTTAAATAGCTAGCACCTATACTTTACTTTCTACATTTATGTCAGCCAAATATTTCATGTCACATCAAAATAACCATAATTTTAACTTTTAAAAGTGGCATAAGAATAGAGTGGAATGCATGTAAAGCTTCCTTTTAATAAACGTTTCCTTATCACTTCCTCCTTTCAAATCATTCAAACCAAACAAGACCACACTCATTTTATTGACCATGTAAGAATAAAAATGCAACAAGGAAAAAAATTGCAATAGAAAGGGAGGGAGGTAAGAGTTTACTAACATAGCCCACACGCCATCCCATCATTCCGTAAGCTTTAGAGAATGAAAAAATATTGACAATATGGTCATCTTCTATACAAGAATGCTCCAAACCATCATACATGAAGTATCTGCAATAGAAAAATTGTAAGAAGAAAAGGACAGAACCAACATAGATATTATTGTAGTAAGAACAAAATGTAAGTTTTGAATCATTTCAAAGCCAACCAATCAAATAGCATCATCATTAGCCATATTTTAACACTGTGAGTTAGTTGTATTAACCCATGTTAAGTTCTGCATGGGACGTAAACATTAATTTGTGCAAAAAAATTTTTGCACTTCTATTCACGTTATATTTGATCAGCAAATTTCAGGTCAATCAGTCAGTCAATGAGAGAAATGAGACAGATTAGATCTCTAGTCTATTACAATTCAATTAAAAAGTTAATTTACCAACACTTTTAAAATTATTCTGGCAATGGAAGATATCCGAACACGACAACAACAACAACAAGCCTTTATCCCACAACATGAATCCTTGTTCTCCATTATGTCCCATTGGGTGTCGTATTTTCATTTAATTCTAAAAAATAAAGATTTTATCCAACGTGTCCAAGCCTTTTTATGTCTACCTTTCTTAACATAAGTCGAATCTAAAGCCTCTACTCTCCTATCAAGATCAGCAGATGGACGACATTTAATGTGACCAAACCATCTAAGACGACTCTCTAATCTTGTCTGGCACCGAAGCTACAACAACCCATTCACGGGTACATTCACTTTGTATTTGTCTTTAAGTGTTAAGCCACTCATCCACCTAAGGATTCTCATTTTAGCAACACACTTGGTTTTATGCTTCTCTTTTAAATATTCTACGCCATAAAGCAACGCCTTGAAGAAAGCCAACCATATAGTTTCACAGACCACAGACAACAAATTTTAGGATGTAGGATATCATAAGATATGAGATTTATAAAACATATCAAACATAAGATGATGAAAAATTATGCAATAAATACTAAAAGTTTTCAAGAACCCAAGCTATTAAGATTACATAATAAATCACTATCTTCAATAAAAATAAAAAACATGATAGAAATCAATTTAAAACAAAAAGTTCTAATGCAATGTAGGGGAACAAAGCAGAATGGAAATGATTAACCAAAAAGCAAGAATCACACTTGTACAAAGAAATAACCTCTCCTAGACTCTTCGTCCCTCACTTCATAACTGAATCTAGAACGTAGGAATAGTACATCTAAGTAGAATCTTATTCAATCACTAATTCAATTTTTATATCTGCCTCGAACTCCGACTCTAATCATATAGCTGTTGACCTCATTTGTGGTGAGGTCTTAGTCTCCTACTCTTAGAACCTAGGACGGTACTCAATCACACACAAATATAGAAAAAGAGAGAGCCAGTGAAGCCAAATACCAAGATAACATTAAGAAGAAATATGCCAAAAAACAGCCCCAACAAGAGGATGCAATCACTAATTGAAGGACCTCGTAGTAGATAAACCCACTCAAATTGGTTCATTGAAGAATTTTGCAAGAACAAACAGTTATGGTAATAATAACAATAACAACAATAACAAGCCTTTATCGCACTAAGTGGGGTTGGCAACATGAATTCTTTGTCTCCATCACGTCCTATTGGGTGCCATATTTTCATCTAATTCTAATAGATTAAAATAATTTTATATACAATATGCCCAAATCATTTTAGGTCTACCTATGTCTTTCTTAACATAAAATGAATCTAAAACATTAATTCTCCTAACAAGATCATCAGAAAGTCGGTGTTTAATGTGACCAAAACTTCTAACATGACTCTCTCTAATCTTGTCTGCCATTGGAACTACGCCAACCCTATCCCAGATATTTTCATTTCACATTGTCCTATGTGTCAAGCCACTCATCCACCTAAGTATTCTCATCCCAACAACCCTTAACTTTGTTTTATGCTTCTCTTTTAAAGGCCAACATACTGCGTCATAAAGCATTGCAGATCTCCCTACCATCTTGTAAAATTTTCCTTTCAGTCTAAGCGAGACTTTTCTATCACACAATAGACCTGATGCATTCCACCAATTTGAATTCTATTAATAACAACCACATCTATATCACCATGATTTTGAACAATAGTCCTGAAATATCTAAAACTCTCACATCTTTTAATGGTTTGACCCTCTATAGTTACAGCTCTGTCACTAGAACTACTACTAGTACTAAAATTACATTTCATCTATTCAGTTTTAGATCTACTCAAACGAAGGCCTTTAGACCACAATGTGGACATCCACAATTCAAGTTTTTCCTGAACTCTTTCCATAGTCTTAAGGATATCATCAGCGAAAAGCATACAACAAGGTAAATCCTGAAATGTCCGGTAAAAGTATCCATAACTAAAGTAAAATGATATAAAGCTTAAAGCGATCCCGAATATAAACCAACTAAAATAGGAAAATACTTGGTCAATCATCCTTCTATTCGAACAAGTAACAACACTAATATACATATCTTTAATGACTTGAATATAAGTCATATCAACACCTTTTTTCTCTAAAATTCACTAAATGACTTCTCTTGGAATCTTATTGAAAGCTTTTTCTAAATCAATAAAAGTCATATAATAAAAGTCATATGTAGAAATCAATAAAAGTCATATGTAGATCCTCCTTATTCTCTCTATTCTTCTACATTAAACCTCTCAATAAATGTATAGCTTCCATTAAAGACATGCCCAACATAAATTCAAACTGATTATGAGAAATATTTGTATCATGTCTCAACTTGTGTTAAATTACCCTCTCTCATAATTGAGGCCAATGCTTTGAGGTGCAGAATCTCAAACTAAGGTGCATAAAAGATGCCTCAAGGTTGATGCCTCATTTCCACCCATGAGGCTCATGCCTTTTTTTGATGAAATTGTACAACTCGAGGTGTTATCTCAGTGCATTTAAGACAGCATCTCAATAAGTAAATAAAAAATTATTATACAAAAACAAAAATAACAACAAGCCTTTATCCCACTAAGCGGGGTTGGCTACATGAACCTTTTTTCTCCATTGCTTCCTACTATGTGTCATATTTTCATTTAATTCTAATAAAGGTCATTTTTTATACAATATGCTCAAGTCTTTTAGGTCTACTTCTGTCTTTCTTAACACAAGTCGAATCTAAGACATCACTATTAATCGTGTCATTAGATTGTCGACGTTTAATGTGACCAAACCATCTAAGACGACTATAAATAAAAAATTATTATTTTAGTGCATATTATATTATATTATAGTAATAATCTAGTATATATCTAATACGACTGCTCGGTTTAATGTAATCGCTCGACATTAGAGTTTCAAGGTCAATAGCTGAGAGAGAGAGAGAGCAAGTCATTTTGTTTGTGCCAGTGCACGAAACTAGAGATAAAATGATCGATGTTCTAGCAATTTAGGCATGAGAGCTAGATATCTTCAAGCCGAGTGGAGATACAAGGGCCAATTGAGAGAAGGAGGAATTGAAATGTATGCATTATGTGCTTACTCGTAGGTATTATCTACAACAAGCCATGCTCCAGCACTTTTGCAGAGATCTGAAATTCTCTGAAAATAAAATACTATAATTAAGAAATTGGACAGCAGGAGAATATAAAAATAGCATGCATGATAAAGAGAGGAGGAAGATTGAGGAGAGAGGAATGAAATGGAAAGACCTGAAGGAGTGGCGGTGGGATATAACTCCCACTAGGATTGCCTGGATTCACAACTGTAACAAGCTTCGGAACTGGTTTAGTGCCTTCATCTGAAAGCATCGTCTCCAACCATTCTGCATCACAGAAATATAAAAAAAAATAATATCTGAAACCTATGGATTGCGTTGAAAAGCTGGGTTACCGTCATGACATTAAAATATAAAAAAAAATAATATATGAAACCTATTGATTGCGTTGAAAAGCTGGGTTACCGTCATGACATTTATTCACCATTAGGCACAGAGAAAATGGAGATGTCAAAACAAATTATGTGAAGTGAGTGATGAAGCTCTCAGCACCTATTTAATTTCTAATTTTCTATCGTCTAAGAGATACTCTAGCTTACTAGACCAGACCATTCCCATTTCCAAAACCTCCACTAGTGTACATTTTGCTCTCGGATTACTAACACGCACCATCATGGCATCATCTATATAGTCTGTATGAACATGAGTGATATTCAATTTAAATTTAATAATTATATAGCAAGTGACCATTCAAATTTCTTCAGCTATAGATTGTGCTTCCCCTTCTGTAACAGAAACAATAAAGATTAAAGTGACTGAAATTAGAAGAAGTAAGTTTAAGCAAAAGACAGTCAATCATTTTCGAACACAATAATGTATTTACTGACAAACTGGAGATGACCTGGAGATGACCAACACGAAGATTAGGAATAATGATAAAAATGTCTTTGATCGCTATGAATTGCAGAACGGTATACTATGAATGAACTAGCATTGTATTTTAAAGATAATAATCATCAAGCTTAGTGGTCCAAGCAGCATTACCGTTCAGCAATAAGTTTACAAAAGCTTACCAACATCAGGATGTAGTGTTTTTTTATTGCTTGGACCAATCAGTATGTTGTTAATGCCAGTCATCTGAAATGACATGTAAGCATTGAAGTAATATGGTGCGAACATAACAACAGAGTCCCCGGGATCGCATAATGTAAGGACGAGATTCACAAATGCCTGTGAAAGTGAAGCATTAGGTCCAGATCCAGTTGGACATAGAAAGCTACAAACAATTGAAAGAAATATGGTACTCCAAACATCATTACAAGAGCAAAAATCAGAATTTCATTGAGCAATTCATATGCAACAATCCTGGCAAACTACTAAAGTGGAACATTTAACAACAGTAAAATTGTAATGATCCACGATCATGGACCACTGAAAAGCTTAAGCTATTAGAAAACACTTTGGCCAATATCAGATCAACATAAGCCCTCACTAAGCAATCAAAAACCTTGGAGTTATCTAACTTGGTCACAACACATGACCTTGAAAAGAGACATTAGTGAGCACGTTAAAATTTGAAAAACTTAAGCAGTCCCCGCAAGTAATTTAGCCATAGCTTACCCTAAACAAGTCCTAATTGGTCTCGCAAACCCCAGATAGCCTATATTGGAGATTAGTTTATTGATTTGGCTCATCTCATTCTTAGCATAGTTTTAAAGCCACCTAAAGCTCAGCTTGTGCACTAATTAGAATCTAATTGATCCTGATGGCGCACAAGGTACACCTAGTCAAGCTCAATCTCAGACTGATTTGGGACTTTGATTACTCATAGCCTTTTTAAGTTAAACTGTTGGCAATTTTGCTCAAAGTACTTTACAATTGAATCCAATTTGCTTCTCATTTAGGGAGCTGACTGAATCTAATCTGATTGGTTCACGCCCAACTCACCTAAGCAGCCTCTATTGGTCAAATTTAAACCTTGATAGCTCAACCCAATGGCTTGATGAACTTTTAATCTGGCCCCAAAAATTGAGTAGATCAAGTAACCAGCCACCCCTATTCAACTCATGAGATTCAATTTAACCAAAGCAATTCAAGAGTTTATAGAGGTATAAGGGTGTCACCACTAATTTCAAAAATTAAACATTAAGATGATAACTCGGATAGGGTCAACAACTCTATCAAGGATATGGGGACCACTCTACACACCCATTGCCATAGAAATTACTTCACTTTATCCTTCTAAATGAAATATCAAATCTTTCCCTTTCCCTAGGAGGGAAACAAATTTTAAGCATTTTCTTCACTTAAGTCTGACCATACCTCTACATATGACTACGGCATCCACACAGTTAATACTGCACACGCCTTTATATAGCTTTTCAACTTAAACAAACTACAGTATTCTCACATTTCTTACAACTTCACGTGCACTTCTAATTCAACAAAAAGATCAAACAAATCAGTCCTTAAGAGATAATATCACTACACTATTGCATAAAGAGATTTTTACACATCTAACAAAGCTTTAAAAAGCTCCCAAGCTCCAAAAAGAATGAAGAGAAATCATAAAAACATACTTTCAGCACAAAGAGATGTCAAGAATACCTAAACTGAATCTCTTGACTAATGGTTTTACTCATGGCCCCATCTTAGTTGTACTCCCAAGAGAAAAACCACATTGACATTTGTGGAGTGGTAGTAGTTGAAGGCAGTCTCAACTGAATCATCTATATTTTAAAAGCACTCACATAAAAGGGTAAATGAAAAAATCACTTTCCAAGATAATGTAGCAAACTTTCAAACAACTTCAACACTCCCCAATAGACATAAAGCCGAGTAGAGTTGCACAATGAAACAGTCTAATAAACCTAGGGAAGATTCAATCTCTACATCAACTAGTACACATCTGTGTTGTAGGGTTGAATGACAACTTATATGCATTTGCACTTTGAGTTAACACTATTCAGATGAATCCAAAGTGGATTCAATCACTATATCAAACAATACGCACTCATATTTTAATCACCGATTCATATGCATTCATGTTGTAACTTGACCGTGGTGTGCCATTTGCCGTGAATCTTTGGTTGGCATCTGCAAAGTCAATTCTAAGTCCCCTGAGGTCACGAGTTATAGTCCCCCAGAGTGCATTTGCCTTGCAACGTGGGATTGAGTGGTTAGGCACATGAGGATGGTTGGGGGCTCGTATCATATCCTTCGACCATTCTTTCTAAAAAGGAAAAAAAAAGTTGTAACTTGACCATGGTCAAATCAATACAAGTGGACCTACTCTTTATATCAACCCATAAGCTTTTGTATTTCCGCATGATCGTACTGGTATGCATTCTCCATATGCATCTATATTGCAACTTCATCTTATTTGCACGTGTTTGAGCTACAACCAAAATAATTCTTTTGTTTGATCTTCATGTGATTTTGTGCACTTTTGACTTGACGTTTGACTCCCTTGAGGTAATTCTACTCCTAAGCAAGTTGCACATCAACTCCGAAAAGAACCGATCCTAAAAAGACTTAATCTTTACTTCAGCTTGTACCCATCAACAATATGATTTCATCATATAGTCCCTCACTAAGCTCCTCTTAATGGGCAGAGTCATGAAAACAACTCAAAATGGCAAGACTAATCTCAAGGAATTCAATCTTCAAAATTTAAAAAAATCTAGATAAAGTCAGATATATTCTCAAAAAGCTCAAGTCAACAACCCTGAAATCGATTTTGACAACAAAAATAGACATGATTATCAACAAAACAATATAGAAAATCCCCATCTACAATCATATAATACCACTCCCACCCTTTTTTATCAAAAGAACAAAGGGAAAAGTCCTCAAACCTTATAAAGTAGAAAAAATATAAAACACTGCAAAATAAAATAAAAAAACGCCTAGAGGTATTCACCAAGTCTCAACTCATTCCTTAATTTGCACAAGTGCTTCTCTTCTAGGTGACTTCTTTTCAATTGGAAAAGAGTTATGAGATGTAGGTTCATCAGCACAACGCTACACAATTCATGCAACTAACAATCCTTCATCAAAAGCAGAAGAAAAGTTGCTTTTTACACAAAAAGAATTGCTTTAGTAATTTCTCCACAATTATGAAGTGATTCAATATCCAGAGAGGTAAAATATCCAAATATAAATAATATTTTCTTCTATGATCACCAAGATTAATGATTCCAAGAATTAATAAAAGGTAAGCATGCAACCTCTATTTTAACAAAAGAGGAGGGGAAAAATGTGGCATACTTCATCTAAAAAGATGTAATTAGAATATCTTACACTACTTTTCATTTTCCACAATCCATTCCATCGATCCAACAGACTAATAACTTGTTTCTTCTCTTGTTTTTCTTCAATCGTTCATCCCCACAACATCAAAATGTAAAAAATTCAAAGTGGCATCCGTAGGATCATAACCTTGACATCCTTTGCTATGCATGGAGAAGAGGCCTTTAGGTTAACATTTTCACACAAAAAGCCAAAATCTAACTCCCTCCAAATCAAACCCCTCTTAAGTTTGCATCATACCAACCACACAATGTTCGGCTCCTTCCAACTTTTGTTTTGCAAAATTTGTTTGATTAGCCACCTCTAATCTCCATTTATGAAGATCAACAACTAGCTAGGATATCACAAATTCATTCCTCCTCATGGTTGCCAATCTTGCACCCTCATCTTCTTCTTTTCTCTAGGGAAAGTAGCCATAAGCCTACGCTTTCCCAGGCTAATTGCAAGCTAATATTCCTTCCAGTCTGTAACTTGATCTAATCCTTGTCTTCCTTTTCAACAAAGAGCCTTCGCAATTGCTACAATCTGCTCAATTCTTATGCCAGTAAATTATAGAAGACCTAGGATATCAAGTTTTATTCTTCATTGTCACTCAAGTCTTTGCTTCTTGTCATTTTGTGAAGGCACTAAATAATTTAGTTCTTACATTGACTTTAGTTTTGATTTAGCTAATTTTAGTTATACACTGTATGTTCAAATTCAAGGTTTAAGATTTGTTTTGGTGTGAGAACTAAATTATTTATTTAAAACCTATATAGATTTTTGGGTAGCTTAGGTAGACAGAGTTGCACCTTCCATAATTAAATATTTATTTTCAATGTGTGATTTAGTTGGATCTCAATTAATTTGAAATTTTATACCGGTTGATTTTGAGATGAGTAGTTTTTATTTATTAGATGATAAGTTAACGTTTTTCATTAGGAGCATTATTATGGTTGGAATTTTATTCTTACATTCAATTTCTTTGATTAGGCTTTAAAAAGCTAGTGATTATTATAAATAGCATACCAGAAAGATCTCTACCAACTTCCAACCATTTTTATACGCAACAATAATCATCAAGCTTCAATTAAGTAAACCTTTTAGATATTTGTCTCATAAAAATCAGTTTTCTTAATTATTCAAGCATTGTCCTTTCAAAATCTAAAAATGAAAATTGCCTAGATAAATTAAAGATAAGTTCAAAAGCTACTTTTAGCCATGTAAAAAGAAATTCACTGCAAAACTATAATAATTTGTTGACTAGTGAAAATTCATAATTTTGTAAACTTATGGAACTTCTAGCCTTAAAAGTTCCTTCGCAACTTTTCCAAGTTTTCAAATGTTAAAACATAATAAGAATGGTGTAGGATGTCTTAAGTACTAGGTTTTTTAATATAGATATATCAAAAAATTTGAAGGAAAATGAGACAAACATGCATATCTTAGAAGACATAAGCTCGTTATCTTAAAAAATTATTCACCATCTCCGATCACAACCGAAAAATAATGAAATCCAATAATGATGAAAGATTGAGAATATAATAACAGCATAAAGGAGGTCTATTATTTTATAGACCTAAGCATTCCCCCTTTGGTGATATTCACCATAATATAACGTGTTGTGATCATATGTCACTGGCCTATATTAACAACATATATTAAGACTAGAAACATATGTTGTTAGTGCTTTAACAAATCATTAATAATATAGATATCAAAACTGCTTGGATATAAGGGACTGAAATTTTTACAAGAAATCAATTTCATTTGGATTTCATGATTTTAGCACTACATAAAAATAAAAAAAGAAAGATCACCTGGTTAGCACCAGCTGTCACCATAACTGACGATCTTGTCAATTTGTTTTCCCGACGTAACTTCAACAAAAATAGAAGTGATAGATGAAGCTTAGAAACTGAATATTTTGATAAATGATAAGTTATTAAGATAATATAATTTATAAAAGTACTGGAATTTCTGAAAGAAAAACCCAAAACTGGCAGAACTAACTCAATCTAGTAATCAGAATCGGATAAAATTCACATACCATGGAAATGTTACATAGTTACATCCCATCATTGCAAAATGAGCATGGCAAACAAGAAGAGCAGCAGAATTTTAAAGAAGATCATAATTTAGCATAAGTTAACAGAAAATGAACAGTAACAAACCAGTGTAGGACCACTACCATCCCAAAAGCTAATTTTTTAGTATGTTTCACTAGAAATTTTGATTTCGCGGTGCAATATATAAGATAGCAAAATAAAAGAATACTTCCTGAGAACATCTATGTGCCCAATATAAATAAATAGCTCATGAAAATTAAAGGCTCGTTTGGGATCAATTTTGTTTTTAGTTTGCATTGTACTTTTTTACTTTGTTTTTAAAAATATATTTGTTTAAAATATTTTTAATATATTTTTATTTTTTGTTTCTAAAAATAAATAAACATATATTTTTTTTAAACACTCAAAATAACTTTTAGATGTTTTGAAGGTTTTCAAAAACAATCATATCTTAATCAAACATATCGAATATGTTTCGTTTTCAAATCGGAATATAAACAAAACAAAACAAAACAAAATAAAAAAATAGTGAACAAAAACCAAAAGTGATCCCACACAGCCCCCAAGTAAATAATAAAAAAAGAAACAAACACTATTGCTTGCAATTTTATACCTTCTCAAGCAAAGCCAATCTCAAATCTAAAAGTCCTTCATCCGCACCATAATGACTAGTTGAAGGCTCCCATACAATGTCTTGCACCTTTTTCAAAGCCTGCTCAGGAGGTTGCCAGTAAACGACCCCCTATGAAAAAGTCGAAATAAGATTCAGAATGATCCAAAAAATAGTCTGAAAACAACTTGTAGCAGGAGACCAATCTATTTTATTCTAGGTTTTCCCAAACTTTTCCAGAGAACAATAAATAACATAGAAGGCACGGACAATGATCTTCTCTCTTAATAACGAAATAACATCTCTCAAAATAAATCCAACAACAATTGTGTTAGTAGTTCTCATACAGGGATGTGTTCCTTTGGTTTACAATGGATGAAAGTTTCATCAACTTATTTGACGCCTCATTGACCATAGTTATAAAACAACAATAACCAAAGAAAGATAAAAGAATAACAAAGAGCATAAGCATAGCAACAATAGAGGTGTAAATAAGCCAAGTCGATTCGAACTCAAGAGACCCTCGACTTGAGCTTGAGCTTAATTAATTAATCGAGTATGAGCTTGAGCTAGAGCTCGTGCTTAATTCTACCAATTTGAGTCAACTCGTAAGCTGACTTATTTATTATAAAAAAGAGAGATCAATATTAATTCAAGCTTATGTTGTCATAAAATGACAAATAGAATGAACAATTATGAAATAAATAATAAGCAAACACTTTGTATGATATATAAAATATCATTTTCTAAGCATTTTTATAATTTAAAGATAAATTCTAGAATTTTAATATATTTTGAGTATATTTTATATTAATTATTTTTTAAACTAATCTACTCACGAGCTAATGAGTAGAGTAGGGTTTGGCTTGAGCTTGACTTGTTAGTTTATGGAGCTTAGCTCAGGAGTCAATTATAGAGCCGAGCTTGAGTCGACTCATGAGTTGGTTACACCCCTAAGTAACATCCTTGTAACTAGTATGATGGACAAGAGATAGGCTTCTACTTTAATCATAAAAGAAAAGATTAACCCCTCTTAATTTTAATCCATATTTCATTTTGTCAAAAAATTGACTCCTGTTTGGCTTAATTAAATATTGAGATATGATTAATTTATTGAATTAAAATATTAATAGGTAATTAATCATTATGATGTACATTAAGTTAATTATAAAAAAATTAGGCCTGCATTAAGGTCTATTTTAAAATTTTAATTAATTAGTAGATCAATTAACTTGATAAAATGGATCAAGAAATGGGGGTTAAGATGAGGGAAGAGCATGAACTTATTCAAAAAATAAAAAGAAAAAAAATGATTTACGATTTTTTTCTTGTGCTTGTTTTCTCAATTTAAGCTTCACATCAGATCTTACCCATCTATTTTCAGTTTTTGTTAAATCACAAAATCATTTAAATCCTATACCTTGAAATAAAAAATCAAACAAATCATAAAAATTTTAGCAAGATTTAATAATTATCCCGCCAAATAGTTTTCAGAATTTACTAAATCTGGATTCATAAGATTTGCTATTCGCAGTCAATTTTGATCGTACCCAAACAGCCCCTTAGTCTAAATAACCAACAAATTTTCATCAAAGACTGGCTGATTAGATAAACAGTTTTAGCTTGTTCATCTCATACCTATTTCTCAAATCATAAACAGCAAAAAACACTCAAAAGATCAATTAAATCGCACAAGAAAAAAAAAACACCCAAACCTGCGCAAGTGAGATGGCATCTTTGGCTCCGCGCATCAATTGCTGGATCTGCAAACACCGCCAAAAATTAAAGACAACCATTGTTCAATTCCACGATCCGAGCAAAACCCATCGAAAACAGATATTTCTTCCACTCCATAATCACAATAGAACAGTAAATCACAACACACCTGAACCATCACAGGGGTTTCCGTCTGCCGAGCCCTCGTTGCGAGCTTTGCAAAAGTGCCCATCTCAGAAGAACACACTGTGAGAAGGGGGAAAAAGCGAGGCCTAATTTCGTTGAAATAGGGACCGTCAATCCGGAGAAAATATTGCACGCTAACGACTTTGGACCAACAAATAGATGGAAACCAGAAGACGTAACTACCACACTCTCTGCACCAACTCCCACAAATCAAGTTCTCTTAATTATTGATATTCTGACGAATGAACCAAAGCTCGTTTCCCAAGGCCGTTTCGTGTTTCCACCACGATGCAAGATTACAGACAAGACTTGACAAGAGCAATAAAGAATACCTGGAAAAAGAAAGTACCACCCAAGCTACCAATTCGACTCGGCCACTTCTTTTAGTTGAGAAAAAGGGTGGAAAGAAAAAGATGCAGCTTCCTCTGCAACTCTCGACCACATCCCGCTAAGAACCAGAATCATGAGATGAGTTTCTAGACGACGACAACTCTGTTCACACGCTCTCTCCCAACGGAAAATTTTCTATGCGCCGTTTTGTCCTTGTTTTTGTCGCTTTCTACTTTTAATCCTCTTTTTCATGTATTTTTATATGAAAAATTTACCTAAATACCACTTAATTCATAAGGATTTACAGATCTTGCGCCTAAATTTCAATATTTACTTATAAATAATCTTATCTGTTTTAGTAGTTAAAATCATGATATATTTTGTATGATTTGAAAAATTTTTGTGGTATAAATATAAAAATTAAAATATAAGTTTATGTCTGCTAGAAAATTTGCGGTGGTACAGTAATGGATTATTGTCCTAACCTTGTACGAGAATTCAACACACACATATATGAAAGAGAAACAAATGTTGACGACTCTAAAATTTTTTACGTAGAAAACCCAGCAATTGAAAAACCACAGGGACTGACCCAGTTCTAAAATCTACTATGTATTGATGATTACAGAAATTTCCTGTTTCATGGATGAGAAAGAGCAATTATATTTTTTAAATCATAATGTCGACTGTCGACTTCTGGTTAGTGGTGATTAACGACGGTTGGCAGCGGTCGACGACGGTCGGCGGGAATCAGCGGTGGTCGACGGCAGTCGAGGACGGTCGGCGAATGTCATTGGTGATTGATGTTGGTCTACGGCGGCCGACAGTGGTTGACGGAGATCGGCGGTGGTCGACGACGATTAACGATGACAGAGATGATGTTGTACTTGAGCTCCTTCTCAAAGCAATTAATAGTGTTATGGGTGCAATTAATGACGGAGATCGGCGG